CGTCAGGTCCGAAGTCCATACGCCGCCTCAGCTCTGCGGATGTCTCGGGGGTATGGCAAAGTGGAGTCGTTTTTTTTCTTCTTTTGGTGGGTTCGAATCTCCGTTTTATCCACATWTTTTTTTTCTTTTTTAATCCTATATTTATTCCTATTCTTGTTGCGTCATGGCGCAAGTTCAAATTCACAAGTAGTGTGACATGCATAACGCAAAAACTGTTTATTTTGTGTTCTAAAAAAAGGCAGAACCTGCACGTAGAGAACACCTTAAGGGAGAAGATCGTCTTAAACATCTTTTGACTAACATTGCGACGAGGCCTCTTTGCATGATACAGGCAACCCAGTGAACGCCTGTAGGACGTCTTGATACGCGAAGCGTGGAAACGAGTTATTTCTGTATCAGGCTATCTATAAAAGGTTAACCTCGGCATTTCTCAGTGCCAGATAAATGAATATCGAATTTACTTTTCGCGAGAACCGCGTGATTTAACTTCCGGCTCAAATCTCTTGCTTACGTCGCTACCCATGTCTGAAGTACACTGTCAAGTTCGCTGACAACCCTGCCTCGTCTCTAAAACTAAAACTAAAATCCTTGCAAAAAATTACAGAAAAATTCGCTTTTGTTGATATATGCAATATTACGCGGATGTTTTTTTTTACTGAGTTTCTTTGGGTAAATCAAATAAATTTAATTTTTAAAATCAGATGTAAATCTTTTGCCCGAGAGGACTGGAGACTATGTTTTGATTCATGTAATTTGAGAGCATTCCGTGATTGTGACGCATCAAATACAAACACCTTGAGAAGAGATAGCACCACTAAATCATCTTCCCGGTTTGAATCTAGGTCGTTGTCCACGAAAGACAGTTTTAAAAGGTAAGTAAAGCATTTTGAATTCTACAAGCATGGTTTTAAAACGGCTACAACTGAAATTCACTCCTTCATTCCCCTCTGAAGTCACTTTTAGATTAGTATTTTTAAACTATTCCGTAAATCTTCTTGGCTAACATTAATCCCCGGCATTAATTTGTTTTTGTTGCTCAATTGGTTGTCAAAACCTTTCGAAAATCTTGAAACCTCCGGCKTACTTTACATGGGTGAAATAAGGGTTTCATCCACGTGTTTTGAATTAGGTAAATAAGCATGGACAGCTAGTGTGATAAAGTATATTAATTGCATGATTATGTAACCAAATTTATGATATTTGTTTATGTAAAGTACAGCATTTAAGAATTCTGAAAAAAAAAAATCGATGTGTAGAGAAAGACTGATGGAAGTAAAGGAAGCTAGTTTTTACAAGCCGTCAACGTTGTAGCCAATATTAATATATCTTTAATGCTAGAAGGCTCGACTGCTTTGAGGAACACATGTATATATATCACACTATTTAGGATGTAAAGGAATTAYGAGTATAGGTATAAAGATTTGATCTGTAACTCGCCACATGCTCGCTATAAAGGCCATAGAGCGGCGTTTGATGAATAAGAAATCTTCGTTTCGCATTTGTCTGGAATCGATAGGTTTGTAATGTTTTTGCCGATCAAAGGTCACATATTTTGAGTGTCATTTGGTGTCATCATGATAACACAGGGATCCCAATCCTTGCCGTTCATCGKGCACTTACTGACATGATAATCGGAAGATTACTTTTTTTGGATAGCAGGACATGTGTCAGTAGGAAAGGRAAAGAAAGGAAGAAAAGGAAAGGAAATGAATGGGAGGAATGGGAAATGAGGGAAGAAGATCTGTGACCAACAAGAGCAGTTATTTATATCAAAATAAATGATATACAGATGCTTTGGTATATTTTCAGAAAATGTGTTGTCAAGGAAAAGAAATGAATGGGAAGAAGGGGAAAAGAATATAAAAGATGTACGACATGCAAGAGCATTTTTTTGAATATGAAACTGAGTTTTTCTTTTAACTCACTAGAAAATTATACACAGTTGCTCAAGCGCTAAATGGGATTGCCCAGATGTGTACAATCAGGGACTGCAGACAATGACATGTTTTTGTCTTAGTTTGAGTTTCATTATGAAGAAGAAGAAAAAAAGGATTCTCCGTTGACCTATTAAAGTAGTATATTACAYAGTTAAATAATGCTATTATTAACCCGGGTGTGGATTGATATATGGACTCCCACCTTGTGCACAGTGTAATGTTAACAGGGCTTAGTTTTATATTTTTCTATTTTTGTTTTTTTTAGCCAGGAACAAATCATATCCAAGCAGCATCAAAGAAAAAGATTTACCAATCAATTTTTCTGTAACTGGAACCGTATTCAGTTTCAACACATTACRACTGGAAACTTCATAATGGCAGAGCAATGCATGGTAAGGAATCTCTGTGAATTTTAGTAAATTGAATCATGTATTTTTGTTTAGCCATGTTTTGATGACTTGGAATTGTTATTTTCTTATTATATTTWATTCCCTTGTGTATTATTTCTTTATTTTGCCTTAAGATTTTAGAATAACTATTATTGTCAGTGCATTCCAATGATAACAGACATCTGCACATCCCAAACCAAGGGAAAAAGGAAAAAGGAAAATGAGATCACTATTTTAGAATAACTATTATTGTCAGCGCATTCCAATGATAACAGACATCTGCACATCCCAAACCAAGGGAAAAAGGAAAATGAGATCACGTATAAGACTTACTCAAACTAACAATTATTGAATTCATTTGAGGATAACAAGAAATGATAATTTTATTTACTCATTTYGCTTTAAATATTTCATCTTTTATCTTCAAAACTCTTAATTCTTACCGTACACAAGTGGTACACTTTTCCTCAATAAAAACCAAAACACTCGTCGTGGTTTTCAGTCTTTAGCCCACAAACGTGTTCTTGCAAATCATCCTTTATGTAATTGACCTTTGACATGTATTCCGTCAATTGCTTTAGTAGTAGGAGAACGATTTGAATTCACTTAATACCAGTGAATCTGTTACAAGGTGATTTAGATCGCAGCAGTGAACAGAACAAGACAAAAAGAGCAAAGGATAGGAATCTAAGTGATTTTTATGTAGATGGCAAGGGAAGAATTTATGGTGCTGTRGCATGAGAAGAATTTCGCTCTTTGGAAACAAACCCTATGAATGTCAATCAAAGTATATTTTTAGGTTAGCATCACTTTGAAGAACTCGCAAAAAGGCTCGCACTATTTCGTGATTTAAAGAAAAAGCAACTCTTACTGAAGAACAATWATTTTTTTGGGACTTTTTCTTAGATAATAAGACAGTTTTTCCTGCAGCATGTTAGGAAGATAGTTCATGTTTTTTGACCATTATGTTTATAAATAGCACTAGTATTAAGGAAAAGGTGGAATGATATGAGCCTTGAGGTTAGGACCGATCTCTGRACCGATCTATTAAATATGGATTAAGGTCGTTAATCCTTTCCGCCTACTGCCAAACTTGGCATCGCAATASTATGATCGTCATGCTCTGATGTTGGATGTAGGTCTTCAGCCCGTGCAAACCCTTAGATCGGATCTTTCGTCACTTCTGTTTTGGCAGAGGTCCAGCGCTTGCACAAKGCTGTGATCAAGAGAATTTAATATTGAATCGCGATAAGGATTTAACAGTGATTCTAGAGAGTGACTTTTATTCCTCTCATTCTATTTCAATTTGTTTAGGAAAACCATGAACTCGTAGACCAACTTCGAGTGTCCGAAGAAATATAATTCTGTAGCTTATAACAAGTGGGCGTAGCATTAGCATTGGGCTCAGAATTGACTCCGGAGTTACTGTACATATCTACAAGAGAAAACTAACTAAGAGAAAGAATCTCTGGTATTCATGCTTTTAAACATCATTGGCACAGTTTGATCACAGGGGGCAGAGGGGGGCACTTATCTGGAACCCGCGTCAGATACCGCGCGCTACRATGCGCGCGCCATTCCTTAGACCTAACGGTTCCAGTTGCTTGGCGTATTATGCAGCGCGCGGTATCTGACCGGCTCAAGCTTACTCATATTATGTACAGCGGTAAATTATATAACAATAGAAGATAACCCATAAATTTGAAAGACCAAAGATTGTATTCCTTGGTATTYGTAGCGGCAGTGATGCGCAAAGCACTGAGACTTTTACTGATCTATAAACCAACTTTTTCCCCTGTTATCTACAAATGATTTCCTTCAAAAAAAAAAGAAAAAAAAAAAAACCACCTTTCAGCTAATTCATTGACTTCCTATGGGTTTTAGGAATGCGGATGTACATGTTCAAAATGTAACGCAAGGTAAGTTCGTTTACCGTAGAGGGGAGGGGTGGGGTCACTACGGTAGCCCATAAAAAGGGACATGCATCAAGTTAGAAGTACGAGTAGCTGCAAATAAGAAAAGAGTTGCTGAATTTTAGACGAGTTGCTGCAAAGAAGAAACGAGTTGCTGCATGTAAAACAAGTTGCTGTAAATACGAAAAGAGTAGCTGCAAATGAGAAACGAGTTGCTGCATGTTAAACGAYTTGCTGCATGTTAGACGAGTTGCTGCATGTTAAACGAGTTGCTGCATGTTAGACGAGTTGCTGCATGTAAAACAAGTTGCTGCAAATACGAAAAGAGTAGCTGCAAATGGGAAACGAGTTGCTGCATGTTAGACGAGTTGCTGCAAATATAAAGGAGTAAAAAAAGCATCTTTCCTAACAGCTTATAATTAAAATATTTATTCTTTTACTGGTTTTAGTTCGGAATGTATTTCCCTCAGAGAGGAAATAGTAAAACTCTGTAAAAAGTTGAACGAAAGCGAACGACGAACACAAGAATTGGAATTAAAGCTCAGAGAATCAAATCTTGAGAAGGAAGCAGAGCACTTGAGGATCCAAGAGAATTTCGAGTCTTATTTGGAGCAAAATAAACGGTAATTTCGTCAAAATTTAAAAATAGGCGTTTGTCTGAAAAAGCGCAAAAAAAAAAATAAATAAATAAATAATAAATAAATAAAAATCTCCCTACCTCGGCTCAGCCTCACTCGGACACTATAGAAAATCCAAGCGAAAAAGGAATGTTTGGCACCTAGATTTGCGCGCGCATATATTTTTGTCTTTGGAACAGTCATTCTAGTCTTAAAGGCAAGGACTATTATGAACCATCCGAAGTGGGAACATCAAAAGCATATTAAGAATTTTGATTTGGGAGCTGACCGCAAAAACAAAACTARCCTTGCGCGTCACGTACACGTGCCGACGTTTGTACTACTGAGGCGAGGGTTGGGGAAAGGCTTGGCATCAAGCATCAAAATGTTACGTTCTTGGAGATGAGGTAGGGATGCACAAGTACCTTTCGAAGACTCCTCTGGATCATCTTTTAGCAAATATTTTTGATCTTGTATTTTTCCAGGTTAAAGGAAAGTTATGATCAGACAGTCAGACAAAACCAAGAACTCGAAAGTCAAGTTCTGAAAATGGTAAGGGGAGTTTTAGGGTGGCGCCTTTGCATTTCGTCACAGTTATTCGTCAACAGAAGCGGGCGCTGTTCTAATTTTAGAAGTTTCGCCTTGGCTTGTCTACCAAGATCCTAAATGCTAAAACCCCTATACTAACGTACCATGGAGTACTTACAGCACAGCACGGTCACGGTATGTAATTGACCCCTTCCTTTGAACCAATCACAGCGCATTGGATCATTGCTCATTCAATGAAAATGCTAAGAGATGGTACCATCACTGCAGATCTTTAAATTTGGGCCTCCCTCCATCCTGGCTACACCCCTGTTTATTTATTGGATGAGCAAGATTCTTGCGTTGTGATTGAACAGATGGATGCCGACATTTCCATACGGTTACCGTGCCATGTAAGCGAACTGCTTTGCGCCATCTTTCCGAGTAGTGTGATTTCAAGTGCAATTTGTATCTACACAGGCTGATGAACTACAAACTGAAAGATCAAGGTTTGACGAAGCTTTGATGGCGATGACTGAACGACTTATCGACGCTACAGAAAAAATGAACACAATGGAAAAAGAAACGGTATTTTTTGTTCCTTTGAGCTTGTCATTAATTTTATAGTAAGAAGTCATTTATTCTGGGAAAGATTTGGGGCAATTGTAGTGTTCGCTTATGTGCTGCCTCTTTGCGACTAAGGTCATAAGTTGAGGGCTTTTCTCTGGGTTCTCCAGTTTTCTTACTTCAAAGTTAGAGGCAAGTGGGGTGCACTATTGTAAGCTTCACGGCTGCCATTAGCGCCTTCATACGCAGCCCATAAAGTCCTCTACTGGTTATGAATGTGAAGCGCATTTAGATATTTCAAATGCGCTATGTAAGAACCTCATTATTATTATTATTCACTACAGCCACCCCTCACCCGCCATCATGTAATTTGAGTTATTTTTCTCTCTCTCAGTGCTTCGAAGGTTTTTCACCGGGTTCTCCTCCCTTCTCAACAGTTTCCCATGTTGTAACCATGCTCCTAACAAACCCTTAAGACAAATAATTGAATAAATCTTTCATGATTGGTTGTCTTGACGACAGGTTAAAAGCAGAAAAGATTGCGCACTGGTTGTTCAGCTTCTTAAATGTAACCAATCACTGGACAGGAATTTCATCTCCAAGAAGCTCGACTCGGTAAGTGAACGTTTCGCTGGGTGCGCGCCTAATCAATTCAAGTCTATAATTTTATTTAAGTTTTCCCCCTGGGGCATATAAATTGGGTACTTTGTGAATAGCCAAGTTTTAGTTTTTAAAGTGAGTATTCTTGATCACAGTTCCCCTCAGAGCTCAAGGGCAAGTTGCAAGAAGAGTTAAAACTGAAAGACACGAGTGAAAAAACTGAAAAATCTCGATCTATGTCAGCAGTTGACAGTAATGATAATGCAACAGTGAGAAGTTCCTTACATAAGCAGCCATTTGCTCAGAGACGCAGTAAATCGGTCACCTTTTCAATGTCTGAAGATGAAATCATACAAAATGGTTTCCATCAGAATTGAAAATGTCATTCTTGAATCTAAATTGTACATTTGAAAACATCTAGTTAAGGCTATTAAACTCTTTACAAACCAGATAACAGAGACAGTAGAAAAGACTTTTAATGGAAATTTATTTTTTGATGATTTTGCATGTTTTTATTCTCTGATATGAATTGCGGGTGCATTAATACTCCTCATTTATGCTACAAAGTTTTATACAACCAATAACATCAAAAACGTATGTACATATATTTTACAAATCTATATTTTATATAATATTTTATATAAATTATATATATATATATACAAAATTAACAAGAATTTAAAATATATATATTTCCGATCAAATAGATGTTTTAGGATGGAGCTGTAATTAAAACAAATTATACAATTGCAAAATTGTGATTTAGAAAAACAATAAAATAAATTTTCAAGATGTTATAATTATATTTTAATATTATATTATTCCCAAGGATGATGGGGGGATGGGGGAGGGGTGGGGGATATTTGAGGGAGGAAAGTAGAGGAAAAAATAGAAGTGGGGGAGGAAGTCTCTCTCTTGCTATGCTGACACAGAATAAGGTAGGGGCATTATTTTTATTACTGCGCAATAGAGAGAAAATCCGTGATAGATAGAATTCTATCCTGTAATTACCAGAAACTCAGTTTAGATGATTTAGACCCAAATTACAATTTGTCCATCCAGAGTACAACTTGCAACAGTTGATGGTAAGGAGGGGTGGTAAGTAACATCAATACATACTGATGGGTGAGCAGACAGAGATGAAATGTTACGAGATGTATGGCTGTTGTAGATATACATTTTACCATCGGCAGACCCGGAGATGGCCAATGTTCCGTCTGGACTGAAGTCACACCCAATAGAATATGCTGCAACCTGAGAAAAAATGAAAATGAAATAAGATGGAAAAAAATGGAATGGATGGGATTCTGCTGCTAGAGTCTAGAGAGCAATGTCTGAATGAATGAATCCAGCCAACTGAAGTCTAGTCCATTCCATCTATGTACGGTTCCTGTTTTCCAAAATTAAAAAACACTTAAATTTTGGGCATTTAGAAGAGAAAAACAAGTTTTAGAAGTTGGGCATGTTTTTCATATACAGTCAATTCAAAAAATGTTGTCGTCGACCAGCTCAAGCCTACGCAACTGGACCGAAAGGAACTCTGGGTAGCAATCATTAAAGCCGATTTGACTCCATAATTTTATCTGACTAGTTATGCCTGGTTAACAGCACGAACCTTCATAGGCGAGCGGGAAGTGTTGAAGGAGACTTTTTTTTAATGCCTTCATATTTTCGAAATTGTGAACTGAATCATAACTACTTTGTTTTCCTTTCCCTAAACCCAAAGACATGCATTTGATGGATTGTTTCTTGCCATTATTATCTTATTACTAGCGGGAACAATTAATTCAGAACGAATATTTAACTGCTTCAGTGATTTTTACCCATATTCCTTTCGGTCCAGTCGCGTAGGCTTGAGCCGGTTGACAACAACGTTTTTTGAATTGACTGTACATTAAGAACATCCATAGCCTTTCAAAAGGTAAAAATTCAAAAATTATTTTTTGTGATTCAAGATCCATTCACTGACTGAGGCCCACTCACTTGCAATCCATTTCAGTCACAACCAATTCATTCCAGTCACATCCAAGTAACATCATTTATCTCAATAGCATTTTCATATAGGAAAATTAGTCATAAAAATCTGTAATGATCCACAGAGTCAGCTATAGACACATGATGTATACAGTCCTTTGAAAAAACTTTGCCGCTGAACAACTTCACATGAACCTCAACCAGTACCACAATCCAAAAGATTAAAAAAAAATTTCCATGTTTTTCCCCCCACAGAAATTCGGAATAGAATCACTAGTTATTAATAAAAGAATAAAAATCACAGGATAAAAGCTGCAAATTCGGCGTAAAAAAAAACACGTCTATGTTCCGTACGATCCAGCCAACCAAAGTCCAGTCCATTCCATCTATGTACGGTTCCGGTTTTTCCGAAATTAAAAAACACTCAAAATTCGGGCTTCTAGAAGAGAAAAACAAGTTTTAGAAGTTGGGCATGTTTTTAATATTCATTAGGAACATCCATGGCCTTTCAAAAGGTAAAAATTCAAAAGTATTTTTTTTGTGATTCAAGATCCAGTCACTGACTGAGGCCCACTCACTCCATTTCAGTCACAACCAATCCATTCCAGCCACATCCAAGTAACATCCAATTTATCTCAATAGCATTTTAATATAGAAAAATTAGTCGTAAAAATCTGTACTGATCCACCAATTCACCTATAGACACATCATGTATACAGTCCTTTGAAAAACCTTTGCTTCTGACCGGCTTCGCATCCACAGTCCAAAAGATAAAACCAAATTTTTTTGGCATCTTTTGCTTGCAAAATGTCGGAATAGAATCAATAGTTATGGATAATAAAATAAAAACCATAGAAAAAAAGCTGCAAATTTGGTGTAAAAAAACTCTACGGTCCATAGAATCCAGCCAACCRAAGTCCAGACCATTCCATTTATGCACTAGTTTACATAGCTAATAACAAAAAACATATTTTACAATCATCACTACTCATGTGTAACTCTTCCATGAACTTCACTCCACACGCACTACCACTACATTCTATCACAACATACAATACTCAACTCACATGGTGATTTTTACAGAGGGAGGTACACTAGAGAACCTAGACAAAAAACCTCGTGGCAAGGGAGAGAACAACACATCAAACAAACTCAACCCACATATGATCCAGTCTGAGGCAGGGCTAAAAACTAAACCACAGCGGTGAGAGAAGAGTGGTAAACCACTACACCACCCACAAATAATGGTAGAGAAAATGAAAAAAAAAAGGTGGGAAATTCAAACCCTTCTTTTAGTATATGTATACTATAGCAGTTTCTTACCTGATGGCCCTCATATCTTTTATACTTGTTGAGCTTGTAAGGTCTCTTTGTTGAAAATATTGCCATGTAGTTACCATTAGACTGTGCAACAAAGTACGATCCACTGGGATGAACACGAAGACAAGTACAGGTAAATGCTTCCTAAAAAAGGAATAAATAATCATGTCTCCTATCTTATGCTGGTTTCAAGAAAATACCCCAACCCCACTCCCTGAGGTTCCTTACTTGAGAAATAAAAAATAAAACTTTAACTGCTATATACCGCAGATTCACCTTTTTCAGTTCCCTTCATCATGAAGGCAACTGAAACGTCATTATTAAGAGAAAGCAGTATATATTTTCATATACTACATAAATTATATATTACTGGTATATTGACCTTCCTAGAACTCTCCACTCCTTGAAAATTTCCTGCCCCCTGTGTATGGTAGGATACAGGCATTTTCTGGAATTACACACATCCATCCTAAAATAACCATTACATCAGTCACCAGCAACAACAGTCTTTCTCAAGACTACACTCACCCAGACGATCACATTTCACGACAAACTTCAACATCTGGGTTCAAACCATTTACTCTTATAGACCATTATTACCCCCAAACATTATGTTCCTGGAATATGGACCCTTACCTGGTATATTTGATTAGACATAATTGCTGTAGTCTTAAAGTCCCAGACCATAATACCCTTGTCGGTTGCATTTCGTCGAAGAACTTCAGCAGCTGAGATAAACTGCTCACCATCAGGAAGGAAAGCTACATCCTGAACCTGGCCAAACGATGCTTGATATGATGATACTATCTGTAAGATAAGATAAGATAAAGTCTTTCATAATTAGATAAGGGGAGGAGAAAGAGGGGCGAGGAGACAGAGAGGTGGGGGCAGGTGGAGAGAACAGAGGGGGGACGGGAACAGAGGAGATGAGGGGATAGAGGGAGGTGACAGAGGGATGAAGTGATCATGACAAACAGGTGAGGCAACAGGGGGAGGTGGAGGGGACAGATAGGTGAGGGGTAAGGGGGATGAGACAGAGGGGGAGGGGTGATTTCTTTAGCCATGCCATATCTTACAGTAACCATAACCATGTGTTAATTGGATTAATTACTGGAAGACAATGGAAGCCATTTCAAAGTTAGGTCATGTCATACCACTGTAATATGTGAGGTCATGTCATACTATGTATGTGCTGTATGTCAGTACCATGTGTTTACCATGCATATGACACCTACTCTGACTAACACAGCATTGTCTATAGCTAACCTTATTATCTCTGATGTCCCAAGAGAATATTCCATGTCTTGATGTACCAGATAAGAATGTGTTAGGGTCTGTGGGGTGGAACTGCACACAAGTCACATACCCCTGGTGCTGAAAACTATTGATCTGTTTCCCTTAGGAATAAATGATATAGAAAAATATTTATTAGAAACTAAACTAAATGCAAACTTAATGTTAAATTATAATCAAGTACAGTGATTATTACTGTCATTCTACTGTAACTGTCAACATTCGAGTTTGTCAGCCAATCAGATTATGAATCAAAAACCACAATATAATTTGAGTTACATGTATTGAAAGTCTATAAAAGCTTTATTCAAGAAGATGAAATGATGAAAGAAAAAGTAAAATTATATTTAAACAAATAAAAAATAAAATAAACTTGAGTGTTCATGGTCAGAGAAGAATGTCAATAAGTTGCAATAATTGAAATTTAAGTTGCAATTTAATAAATTCCTAAAAGTGTTATTACTAGTACCAGTTTCAAGGTCCACAAGCCTGGCACGCTTATCATATCCACAGCTAAGCACCTGACTCCCACAGGCACTCCATTTGACATCTTTTACAGCCCCCCCATGGTATGTGAGCCTGCTCAAACAGACTCCACTTCTATTAGTGTCCCATATTGCTACTGTCTGGTCCATTGATGCCGAAGCAAGCAAATTCTGTTTCTTTGGGTTCCATTTGATGTGATTCACACACTGTGAATGACCCATGAATTGAGTCCAAACTTTCCGAGGAGGCTTATTGTTCACATTACAACCATCCACATTTTCGGTTCTCTGCATTTCTGTATTGTCTAAATTATTATCACAAGCAACCACTTGTGATTTTGAAATCCCTGGCTCTACTGTCTCTTTGAGTTTTTCTCTTTCTCTTTTAGAGATATATGGTTTGGGTCTTGCTCCCAAGCTTGTAGTCCTGTCTTCTGGATTCTTCCTCATTGGCCCAGCATCAGATGCTTTTCCCTTGATTTCATTTTTTTCCTTACATATATAACTACATCTACTACTCGTAGTGATGCTGGTGTTGAGCGAAAAAACACTTGCTTTAGCGAAGTAAGACTGCCCTTGAGTTAATCGTGAATATCCTTTTACTGTTTCTGTTGAACCAGAACTCACTACAGCTCCTTGATTTGTGATATTTTTCCGTCCATTTTGGAGATCACAGCTTTTTTCAGGCAAAAGTTTGTTCTTGTTGTCATGAATATTGTCAAAATTCTTAGATGATTGTTTAAGTTCTTTTTTGTCTTTCGCTTCAGTTTGAACTGATCTAAGCTTACTTCCCTCGTCATCTGAACCAGAGCTATCGTAGTAAAGTAAAGCATCCATTTGATTGTGTCAGAAAACAGGGAAAAAATGAAAAGAATACCTTTCTCGTTCTCTAGCTCTTTTTTGATTGAAATCAACCATTTCCAGTTCCCTCACTACCAACGTTCCACAGGCAACCCAAAGTGATATCAAAAGTAACGCCTGGCGGTTATTGTCGCGCGCAAGAAAGCGTGGCTATAAATCTCCTTTTTAATTTGGCTTAAAGAGATCCACTTTATAAAGTAAGCTATTCTTTTTCATTTTTTTAATAAAATTGCTTTTTTAGGTGTGTTTGTACTTTGTTTTGTTGGCGCAAAATATTGAAATCCCAATACCGCCCAAAGCTCCCATCTACCACATGATGTGACGTCATACCAGGGACCAAAATTAATATGGCGGACAAAGGTGCAGAAAATAGTAAGGAAATGTTGTGACCGTTTAAACGTGATTTTTGCGTTAAATATGTTATTTAGGATTCTCAATTCATATTACTATACACATGTTTTGTCATTCTTCATAGAAAATAAATCAGAAAATGTTGATGGTCGTGTAAGAGTCGCTGTTATTGGTGGAGGAATATCAGGTTTAGCGGCTGCGTCGTCTCTAGTACAAGAAAGGTTTGATGTTGTTCTTCTTGAAGCTTCAGACTACATAGGCGAGTGTATTGTGGATAAGAAATATCAGTTCGATATCAAAGTACAAACGTTGTAAATCAGGGCCAACACAATACTATTTTATGCAACGACCAAAGTTGACTATAGTTATAAGTGCCATATTTAGGAGCTAAAGATTTGTGCTACATGTGGCTTGCCATATTTGTCATTCATTGTAGTCTCCCCTAATGATTTCTGTAGGCATATTACAGCTGGCATTGATTATTTCTATGAGAAAATTGGTGTCTCAAAATATAGTATTATAGGCCAGAATGATGATCTTATTATTTTTCAAGGGACAGCATTTTGCAGGACAGCCATAAGTGCATTTATTGTTCCTCTTTTTCAAATATGTGTCAAACAGTATCATGAGTATATATTTCCTCTACATATTTCTGCTTCTAATATGAAAGAATGATTTTTACGCTAATATATATTACATTGAAATCCACTAATGCTTTGCCCAAGATAATGTATGCATTCATAATGACATATTTGCAGTAATGGAATTGGATGAATTGAATGATTACAAAATACTGTTCAATAATTTAGCTTCCCATACGTAATCTCTTAGGTGGGAGAATTAAAACAGTGACAGCATTTCCTGGATTCCCACCTATAGACCTGGGAGCTGATTTTATTCACGGCTCGAACTCGATTATAAATAAGCTTGCTGAGGAGAATAATTGGACTGTCAAACAAGTATGTGTATACAATTTTGACATTAACTAATATGGTTCTTCAGTATTATT